AGAGTAGAATAATCATGGCTGATAGTAAGACATGCAAACATAAAAGAAAACCAAACTGGACGCGAGAACACATAATCAAAAATGTGTAGTTCAAAAAACCTCCCAACCTCCAAACCAAAGCCGATACCTTTTTAAAAGCTCATTATCGTCAAATGTTTATATTCCGAGGTAGATTGCTGGCAACAGCCATTTTAGGATAGTTCAGATTTAGTCTTAGTTACTTAGGAGTCCTCTTCATTGCTCCTAACCTTTCACAGATGTAGGAGCTAACTTTAGCGCTAAAACGCTTTGTGAAATACTCTTAAGCCCCGTTCACACTAGCAGCGACTTTTGTCTGGGCTGGCGATGAGGTTGCTAGTGGGCTACTGGTTGCCTTGACAGCGAATCAGGTTTCTTGCCGCTAAGTACAAACATTTTGGAGGCAAAAGACTAAATATAATCTAAATTAAATCCGTACATACAAACAAAAATGAATGAGAAAAATACTTGGTACACCATACACAATGACGGTAACAATCAGTGGATAGTGTTTGAGTATAAATGGGTCATTTTGAGTAGAAAATTAACTCCAGATATCACAAAACAGTAAGTTACTAAACCTAACAACAAAAGCAACCATAAAACAGTGTAAATACAACTCGAAAACAGTGAAAAATTTAACCCTTTTTAATTATTCATGCCCCAGTGCATGATGGGAAATACGGGATCATAACTTTGATATTTACTTAAATAATCCTTGTAAACATAACAAACAATTCCAAGTAAAATATACTTATAAGTTCAAACTTTAATTTCTACAAGCCTAAATTGAGTACTAATATAGAATTTACTTAAATTTTTTTAATTCTTGCCTTAACTAAAGTATTTAATGTAGAAATTACATTTGTTTTTATATAGTATTTACTTCAGCACAAAATCATTTTTATCAGTGTATGCTTCTCATAAACAATTAGTCAATATGCATTAGGGCTGCCCTCGACTAAAGATTTTTCTGGTCGACTAGTAGTCGTTCATTTTAAGCATTAGTCGACTATTAGTCGCACTTTTATTAATAAACCAGTAAATCGCCAGCTCTCCATTGAAATGAATGGGATTGTGTCGCTTTGCTGTTGCGTGTCGCTTGTAGTGTGAACGGAGCTTTAGAACAAAAATGTAGGAGTCATTTAATAAAGACATATATTACATTGGATTACATAATCTGAGAATATTTGTTTTCTATTTGAATTTTTTTAATTTAAAAGTTTCACTCTCTATAGATATATATTTTCATGTCTGTAATAAGGCAAGCATGCACGGAGTTTCGAAGTGACGCGCTCAAGTTCACAGACCGAGACGGCAGAAAGCGCATCCTGTTTGCTTTCATTATTTTACAAAAGCGCAACGTTTCGTTGTTATTCTGAGTGCACACGAATAAGCGTAGAGTCTTTACAGATACAAAAGATGCATTACTCTTATCTGTATGACCAAAAATGACGAAGTATTTTAAGAGCAAATGATCGCACCGGCGCCTCCATCTGTCCTGCAGTAGCCCAAGCGCGCTAATGTTCAACGTCCACACTCCGCATAAACACGTGAACAGCGCACTTTTTTCTGGCTGATAGTAAGACATGCAAACATAAAAGAAAACCAAACTGGACGCGAGAACACATAATCAAAAATGTGTAGTTCAAAAAACCTCCCTTTTAAGATTTTCTCCTAAATCGGCGAGTTATGAGCTACTTTTAGCCTTAAGATGTTTTATGAATACGGGCCCTGGTCTCTCAGCCTGGGCAAGTCAGCTGGTATGTTTATTGGTTTTATAAAGAGATTGAGAAGTTATCAGCACTGCCAGTCAACTTGTTAAACATGACCTTTGCCAGGCTGGGAAATCATCTCAAACCAGGTAAAACTAACCACCAAAATAGGCTACCTTTTTTCATGCAACCAAATTGGTTTACAAATGTGTCTTGCCATAGATGTTATACTTTAAATCATTGATCATAATATCAACAATGTTTTGGATGACTGGGATATTTAGTATTTAGAAACAGAGATTTTGTCTTTCATTCTTTCTGTACATACAATATTAAATACAATCAATCATTAAAAAGCTTCTTCTTAATACTACATTTTTTGATGCAAACTTAAGCAAGATATATGGTAATATATGGTCCCTCCTGGGCTTTGCCGGTCTTCAGTTTGGACTCTGTGCTTGGTCCACTTTATGGCGGCGACGGAAAAAGCCACACTGAAAATGAGATCACATAGAGTCAGTGCATGCAGAGATATTTTTGAAATAGCATAGAAGCATACAACCTTACAACTTTCACTATTTCTGCAGTATATAGTATGCACAGAATGCAAATTTTAAGCATAAAATACTCAAATGACCAACTATATTCACCAAAATTTGCAGTACACAATTACATGTTCCTGCAAGGAATAAAATATCCCACAATGCAATGTGCTTGACTTGATCTTCCTTGTAACATCAAGTGTTGAGACAGAGAGGAAGTGTTTGCTTTACCTTAATGAGAATGATGATGATGATGAAAAGGAGCAGAAATCCTCCTATGGATCCTCCAATGATGGGACCTTTAGATGTCGTCACACGCAGCTTTGTAATTATCATCTCCACCTGCATGGCATAGTTAAATCTATCAGTAACTACAGTAAATACGTGATGACATGTTTGCATGCCTGAAAGGACTGTCGCTCACCGGAATGGTTCTCGAAGTATCCTTCGCAGCATAGATGTTCTCATCAAAGCTGTATGTTCCTACGGCAGTGATCTTGTCTGATTTTTCCTATCAGTTTGAAAAGAATTATTGGATAAACAGTTCATTGATGCATATGATTATCAGTATACCTTAATTATATAACTATACCTGAACATCATGTATCAAAACATTGGCATCAATGATGATTTTCTGCAGCTTTGTCATGGTACATGTGATGATATAGAATCCCTACATGCAAAAAAATATATAATATATAACTACTTTTATTTAACGTTTTTTTTAAAGCATGGTCATTTTTTAAGGTAATATCTTACCTCCACTTTGGTATTTTTTGGAAAAACACACTCCTAATACGAAAGGAGTAATAAATGTTAGTTTGAAAGCTTTCATGCTGTTTATTGTCGCTCTATGAACTAAATATTTCATTTTGTGTGATACCTCGTGTGGTTTGACATTAATGATGTCCAAATCAGTTTTGAAAGTGTCCTTTGTTATGTTTACAACTACATTGATTGTAGCACCATACTTATTTTCACCTGCAAACTAAATCAGAATACAGGAGAATATATTTAATGTATTACATAAATATAAAAATCATATTTAGCTGATTATTTTGTGAGATTAGATTTTTAAATACTGTACCTGAAATAAAAACTGCATCTTTCGATTCTCTACTTTTTCACCCTCTTCAATACGGAGTCTGTTTGGGCTGGCGGTGCTGTTGTTAAGATAATGATAATAATATTCATAAATATCCTTAAATATTACAAAATCAAGAGGTTTCAAGTGAAATACTTAAATTGTTTGTTCACTTACCCTGTTAGCTGGATTGGTAGGGAATACATCACATCAAATGCATATATTTTAGAGTCCAGAAATTCAGAGCCAAGATTCTGACTAAAACCAGAGAAAATGTTTTAAAAATAAGATTTTTATACACTGTAAAAAATGATTTGTAAATAAAATGTATTAATAAAAAGATTATTGGAGCACATTTTACGAGAAAGTATATTTTACTTCAAAATTTCACTTTTAATTAAATGTGTATGACGTTTCTCTGTAATTAATTGTGAACTTTACTAGCAATTTCTGAGTAAAAATAGTTTCTACACCAAATTCTTTTCATTATATAAAAAGTTTGGAAAAGTAGCTCTCAAACCTGGTTAGATTAGCAATAATCTCAGAATTCTTCAGCTCAGATTTGGTGTCATTGAGCTGCCATGAGATGAAAAGGTTGGTCTGGAAGATAAAAAATACTTTTCATTAGGGATGTCCTGATCAGGTTTTTTGTGCCCCCGATCAGATCCAAGTCATTGAATAATGATGAGTATCTGCCGATTGATTAATGATGAGTCCCGATCCGATACTTGTATATTCCTATAGGAACGTGTGTTTGGTGCACACTTCAAGTACATTATAGTTCTTAAAATCAGAGTTGTGCAGAGAGTAAAAATAATACATGTATGATGTATATATATGTATATATATATTACATACACTCTCTCTATATGTGTAAATATATTCCCACACTGTAGAGATTGGCAGATGTAAACAATTATATATAGATTTGATCACAATTATGAATATGGGACTACTGATATAAACTTCTTGTATTTTATATGTACAATAAGCAGAATAATTGCAACATAAAGTGGAGGTAAGGTTAGAAAGCATGAAGCTGGAGGTATCACAATGTCAGTCAAGTCCGAATCAAGACACAACCCACAGCAATGCATTATAACAACAACGTCTCAGATAGTCTGACGGTTGATAAAAGTAAACTATAAATAAATGAGTGATCGTTACAAAAGTATGCATCAAATAGATTAAACATGCAAGCTAAAATGTGCATTTGACGCAATAGAACAGACCTTAAGGTGATGATACACGGGACAACTTTTTGAGCAATGTTGCCATCAATGGGCAACCAGGTGAGACATAGGGCCCATGACCGGTTTAAAGTATCCAGATAGAAATGTATTGCCCATTCTCAATGGGAAAGTGCCCAAGCAACATTGCTCAAAAAAAGGTTGCCCCGTGTTTTTTTTTCTTGTACATAGGCGGAAATCCTGGGGGGGTCAGGGGGGACAGGACCCCCCCATCTGATGGTTGTCCGTCCCCCCTTAAAAATATGATTTAAAAACCACGCTGTGTATTGTAAATAACAATGTTTTTTACTTTAAATAACTTTGTAAGTAGTAAAACAATGCAAATGGGGCAAAAATGCGTTTTAAGTTTTGAAACATTTTGAGTCTCCCCCTCCCTTGCCTCACAGTGCTTTGGTCCAAATGCCTGCTTTCCTCTTTTACATCACCTCAGTTGCCAAGTCCGTGGTTTTCCCGTGGAACTGGGCTACTTTAACACTGTAGCCGTGGGTTGAAGCGACCCCAATAACGTGATATGAATGCAAATTTTACCGGAGGAACCCCGCCGAAAAACGTGCATTTTACCCCCCCGGAACACAATTTTTACCGGGGAACCCCCCCTCAAAACGCCATTGGCCTAGTTTTGGGCTAGTTTTGAGTAGCAATTGGGTGGGTTTTGTTGCGAAAACCCGGCAACCCTGCATCACCCAGACACACACAAGTCCGGTGAGCGAGAACAAAGTCAGTAGTTGTGGAACTCGACTGTCAAGGCTATTTTATTCACTTAAACATCAGATGAAGTGATTAATTTCTCTTTAATACAGATGATGCCAATGTATTTTTCGATGAGCCCGCTATAATAATAACGTTATCTGCTTGACGGATAGTAATGTCTACAGTACAACGGACACGAGCGCTGTTGCGGCGCGACCACAACAGCTTGAAGTTGTCTAATTTGGCACAGTCTTCCTGCTGCACTAATAGAAGTAAGGCTGTGTATACTTGTCCTTACAAGTACAAATTTAGCTGTATTATTTGTGTCCCCTTCAAAAATTGCTCTTGAGAAATTTTATGTTTATTGTCCCCCCCAACTGTTAGAGGAAAATTAACCCCCCTGCTTGTGTGCCACAAACACATCTTTGAGCATCTTCTTTTCTTTTTAATGGCAGTTGGCAAACCCACTTAAAGACGTATACCGCCTCCTACGGCACAACACCAATGACAGCTGACGTAAAATAAGTGAAAATTAAGTGTGGCCAAGTACGGTGTCCCATAGTCGGAATTTGTGCTCTGCATTTAACCCATCCAAGTGCACACACAGCAGTGAGTAGTGAACACAAACACACACACACACCCGTAGCAGTGGGCAGCCATTTTTACTGTGGCACCCCGGGAGCAGTTGGGGGTGCCTTGCTCAAGGGTCTCACCTCAGTCATGGTACTGAGGGTGGAAGAGAACACTGTACATTCACTCTCCCCACCTCCAATCCCTGCTGAGACTCGAACCAGTTACCTTTGGGTTATATAAGTCCAACTCTAACCATTAGGCCACGACTGAGATTGCCTCGGACATTCCTACTTTTCATTACTGAGAAAAATCAGGTGCAAATGAGATCAGAATTCTAACGTTTCAAAGATGTGTGACCGATTCATACCTGTGCGTCTCTTTTGAAAATAGGGTGTTGAAGATTACACTGTATTTGATTGTCATTCTTCACAGGACAGGTGGCACCTTCTATTTTCTGTAAGTGAGACACCAAACCAGGATGTCATGTATCTACTAAATGTATCAACAGCAGATGTAATTGGCTTTTGAAGATGCGGTCATGTTTTTTACCCTCTGACTGAGTATGCTGGGGAAGGTCAAAGTCAGGGTGGTCATATAGGAAGGGTCTTCAGTGTTTGTAAGATTGATATTGATATTCAAGCTTTGAGTTTCTCCGATTATGATCAAAGTTTCACTGAAATATAAATTTTTTAGTTACAAAAAACACAGACATTTCTTTTAAATAGATGTAGCCGAAGCCCCCATAGGTCCCTTTTAAAATTAAAATGGAGTACATTTCATCAGTACATACCTAATTTTTGAATCAGATAATGTAATACTTGATTTACAATCTGTAGCCTTGCATTCTTTTTCAAAGGAAATCTAAAAATGACAACAAAAAAAAACGCAGATCATTTTATGATATGATAATTTTAAATGTTATTACAGAAATTTAAAGTAATTTAATTAAACATTTCACAAAATAGATAATGACTAGATGACTTTTATTCAGCAAGGATGCATTAAATTGATAAAAAGTGACAGTAAAGACTTTTATAAAGAATTCTGAAAATAAAAGCATCATGGTTTCCACAAATCGGCATATTAGAATAATTTCTAAAGGATCATGTGACACTGAAGATTGGAGCAATGATGCAGAAAATTCATCTTTACATCACAGGAATAAATTATATTTTTAAAATAAATTCAAAGAGAAAACAGTTATTTTAAATTGAAATTTTATTTACAAACATTAGTGTTTTTACTGTATTTTTGATCAAATAAATGCAGCCTTGATGAGCACAAAACACTGCTTTTAAAACATCTTAAAAATCTTACCGACCCCAAATTTTTGAACAGTAGTGAGCAAATGGTGAAAGATCACTGAATGTTTACAAGTGCTTGAGAAATCTTTATGTTATGAATATGCTTAAAAATATTTTACCTCCTGTACAACCTCTGTTAGAGTAAATGCATCAAGAATTCGTATAGGGGCTTCTTTTTTTTGATCCAATGAAAAATTCAGCTTGATTTTAATAGGTGAAAAACAGTCAAAACAGCCCTGAAAGGAAGACACAGTTCTTCTAAGTCAACATCATAAAGAAAGAGTCATAGCTGTCAAATGATTTTTATAATAAATCATTCGCTTTTAAATTAATACTGTCAATTTTTCTTACAATTTGTAGTAGTAGTACTAGGTTTAGGCTGAGTGTCTGTTCCAATTGAAACATGTTTTATTTTCTTAAAAACTTGACAAGTGGGGTAGGAAAAAAAAGAACCAAACAGAACCAACGTACCAAATATTTCAGGTTGATAAAAGGTGTACACTGTACATCTGGTGTCAAGGTGAAAGTGTTTTCTAAAAGATCTCTGCCGTCAACAGTGAGGCGCTTTTTGTTTACATCAGAATCCAAGACAATTTGGTACTTAATAGGAAGTTCAACTTAAAATGACAGAAAGTGAATGTGGTTAAAATAATCATGAGGATTGTTTTGAATCAAAAATACTCACCGAACTGAAAGAGAATACTTACTTTGAAGGTTTTCATTAATCACATTAAAGCATATGTGGTACTTTATGCTGGATATTTCATTCAACTGTTGATCAAGAGGAATGATGTTCGGATTAATTGTTATAGCTGGTTTGATAACAATAACAGGGATAGTCCTGTAAAAAAAAAGTATAAACATTAAACAACTTCTAAAGAAAATGTTCCCCCAACCATTAATGAAACAGAAGGTAGACTGAAATATAATATACAAAAAGTAAAAAAAATTTTGCCACTTTGAACAATATAACGATATTTTTTACTCACTCAAAAATAAGCACTCCCCCTTGACTTCCAACAGCGATGGAGGCCTTATTTGATGCCGTAGCAGGTGCACCACTTACTGACTGACCAAAGTGGACAAGTTTCATTCCAAAATCTGAGGGTGAAATTTTCTAAGGAGGAAACGGCAAATTACATTAAAATGCTTCAAATGACACAGAGATGGAAAGACAAACTTTAAAGGGGTCATCCGATGCCCATTTTCCACAAGTTTTTATGATTCTTTAGGGTCTTAATGAAAAGTCTGTAAAATACTTTGGTTAAAATTTCTCAATGGTAGTGTAAAAAACACCTGTTTTACCCTGTCAAAAACAGCTCTTTTCAGAGCAAGACGTTTTGTAGCATTTTCCTTGAAATGTTAAAGGGGTCATATGATGCTGCTAAAAAGAACATTATTTTGTGTATTTGGTGTAATGCAATGTGTTTATGCGGTTTAAGGTTAAAAAAACATTATTTTCCACATACTGTACATTATTGTTTTTCCTCTATGCCCCGCCTTTCTGAAACGCGTCGATTTTTACAAAGCTCATAGGTCTGAAAAGCGAGGTGTGCTCTGATTGGCCAGATCTACAGTGTGTTGTGATTGGCCGAATACCTCA